CGCTATCTCTAGCGCTCACTTCATCATCACCGCTGCCGTTAAATGCTATACAGTATATACCTATTTCTGTTTTCTTTTCTTTGTTTTACGGCGGGATGCACCGAAATGATCGTCTCGGTTACGTATGGTAACCCTCGTTCCCTGAAGGAGGGAACGGAGACGTCACGTAGGATGACCGACGAAATTGGGATCTCGCTTAGAGAGACCAATCCACTTCGAGTGTAAACTAAATGAGCCAGTGCACATTGGCATGCGATTATTGCATCCAGCTGCTGCTGATCACAGCGTGAGTATAAGTAGGCAGCAGATGCAGCGCATATTCAGGTATTCACTGAGGAGCCGAGCCAGTGACCCGGCTGCTCAGCGGTGGTACAGGAGCTGTGGCGACGGGACGTGACGTCTCCGTTCCCTCCTTCAGGGAACGAGGGTTACCATACGTAACCGAGACGTTCCCTTTCAGTCGGTCACTCTCGACATCCGACGAAATTGTGATCCTACCAAAGGGCCACAGCTACTGCCCCTTCCAGTGTCCTGTGGAAGCCACCTGCGCCCCTACTTTTTGGCGTAGGCCAGGGCTTCTTCACAAGAGGACCAGCTACTGCTGCTATGGCACTACCCAATGAGTAAGACTGGGAAAACGTACCCGTTCTACTTGGAACAGGGGCGTTACGGAAGCTCGAACCTTCCCGAAGGAGGTTTCGGAAGCAATACACATATGGACATCCCTTAGGTGCATATGGAAGAATGGAGGTGATTGAACCCTCTTGGAATGGCAGAAGTCTGCCCGGGAAACACGGGCTCCAGACTATACCGTGGACTTTACACATATGGGATCCACTTAGGTCTTACATATGGAACCCAGCCTTCTACCGGTTCTCGAGGATTCAGCGAGTGAAGGCCTGGCGCCGGACGCTCCGCCACGTCTGGCTGCCGAGGGGACGGAGGAACTCAACAGGGTCTACTGTATGGACTCTCTGGAGTGGTTTTGCAAGCCAACCCGAAGCCGGGGCCCCTCAGTGCTTCTATCTGTTTGAGGTGAGAACACAGGAGGAGACCGGCTCCACACGAAGGCTATAAAATCTGGCAAACGTGTTAGGGGTTGCCCAGCCCGCAGCTCTACAGATATCCAACAGCGAGGCACCACGAGCCAGCGCCCAGGAGCATGCAACACTTCTAGTTGAGTGAGCCCGCAGCCTGAGCGGGCAGGGCACACCCTGTGCCTGATAAGCCAGGGTGATGGCATCCACTATCCAGTGGGCCATCCTCTGCTTTGAGACGGCATTCCCCTTCTGCCGGCCTCCGTGACAGACAAAGAGCTGGTCTGAGGTCCTGAAGCTTTGCGTCCGGTCAATATAGCCCCTTAAGGCTCGGACGGGACAGAGCAAAGCCAGGGCTGGGTCTGCCTCCTCCGAGGGCAGCGCTTGGAGGTTCACCACCTGATCCCTGAAGGGAGTAGCAGGAACCTTGGGCACATGGCCGGGCCAGGGCCTCAGGGTCACCTGGGAGTCAGCCGGCCCGAACTCTAGGCACGAATCGTTGACCGAAAATCCATGCAGGTCCCCTACCCTCTTGATGGAGGCCAATGCCAGCAGGAGCAGAGTCTTCATTGAGAGGAACTTCAGCTCAACTGTCTGCAAAGCCTCAAATGGGCCCTGCTGTAGTGCCGTGAGCACTAGAGTCAGGTACCAAGAGGGTATAGAGGGCGGCCGTGGAGGATTTAACCTTCT